TTACTTGAGAAGTTGCTTGTCGTTCTCGTGACACCTTAACTAGTTGTTTTTCAATTATGTTTTATATTTCAGGTTAAGGGATTAACTGGTTTGGCCCTTGGTTTGATCATGGTTGGAACAGGCGACCATGACGTAGCTATGGAATTGCTGCAGATCTTAATGGAAAAAACAGCAGCAGAACTTCAGGACAGTAATGTCCGCTTTCTTGCTCTTGGCATCGCTTTGATCTTTTTAGGTTTGATTTGTCAGTTTTTGGGTTTGCCAATCAGTTGTTGAATCCATAAGAACACGATAATGTGTGTTATTTTCTAAAATCTTCTAAAGTAGTCCGTCTCTGTAAGTAGATATTTTGTTTAACCACCAGAGATCTCTCATGGAAAGCTAGAAGCTGTTATTTCAAATAATTTCTTCTTTCATTATAGAAGAACTAATATCTCATTCAAGTAACGTAATGTGTGTTTTAAATGAGTAAGCAATTGACTTTATGTTAAGTTCGATGAAACTTTTACTGTTGATTGGTTTTTTATTCTTTTTCTAGAAGTAACTTTAACGTTTGTTAGGGCGTGGTGTAGACGTTAGCTTAGAATGTGGGTTTATCTGTTTAGGAACTCAGGAGAAAAGTGAAGTTTTTGTGGAAAGTGTGAGGACTCTTCCAGAACCGTTTGGAAGTATGGTTTCAACTTTGGTAGACATATGTGCTTATGCGGGTACTGGTAATGTTCTTAAAATTCAAAAACTCCTCCATCTTTGTTCGGAGCACTACGAACCTAAAGACCCTAAAAAAAAGGTTAGATTGGAAAATTATTTATAGCTAATTTGTAGGTTTTTTGTATGTCTTTCTTTTTTACTGTCGTGAAGTATTTGCAGATGAAAGATGAAAAGGGCAAGAAGGATGGTGGAACTGGAAGTAGTGATACCAAAAAGGCTGACGAAAAACCTGATTTGTCCTCGCAGCAAGCAGTTGCTGTTCTCGGTATAGGGCTGATTGCTATGGGTGAAGAAATTGGTTCTCAAATGAGTCTTCGCATGTTCGGGCATTTGGTAAGTCAGTGAATTAAATCTAAATTTTCACTATTTATCATCGAACTTACAAATTTCGTAGGCTTTGACTTTTGGGTTGAATTTTTCAAGTGTAGAAGTTACTTTTTATGTAACAAAAACAATTAGTGGGAACCGTTGCTTGTTGCAGGTGCGTTACGGTGAGCCAGTCATTCGGAGAGCTGTGCCACTGGCCTTAGCTTTGATCAGTCCTTCAAACCCTCAGTTGCCTATCCTTGAATCTTTATCAAAGTTTTCTCACGATTCGGACTCTGATACAGCACATAATGCTGTTTTTGCCATGGGAGTCGTAGGAGCTGGAACAAACAACGCCCGTTTAGTATCTATGTTACGACAGCTGGCTAGTTATCACCATAAGGACCAAGTCTGTTTGTTATAATTTCTGAACTGGTAGGTACGAATGCATTAAGCTATTTTTTTCAGGTCAGTTTGATGTTGGTGCGATTAGCACAAGGAATGACTCATATGGGGAAGGGTACTATGACACTTAATCCTTTTCATTCAGATAGACAGTTGATGTGTCCTGCAGCCGTTGCTGCATTATTTGCCACTTGTTTCTTCTTCCTTGACGCTAATAACAGTATCATTTTAGCACTGCTTCTTTTATAATTTTATCTGTTTTCTCTTTTTGGTTTATACTAACTCTTTCTGAGGATTTTTTTCAAAAAGTGATTCAGATAATGTTGCCTCAGATTTTGCTTTGAAGGTGTCTTGAACAATCGTCAACATTATTTGTTGTACACGCTAACCCCAGCGATGCAGCCGAGACTACTAATAACTCTGATGGAAGACGAGTCTAAACCTGACGTTTTGAAGCAGGTTAATGTTAGTGTTCGTGTCGGTCAAGCAGTAGATACAGTCGCGCAAGCGGGGAAGCCAAAAACAATTACCGGTTTCCAAACCCATACTACTCCAGTTCTTTTAGCATATGGCGAACGTGCTGAGCTAGCTACTGACGAATGTAAGTCTCACCAAAGTTGAGATGAGTAGAGTTTTTGACTGGTGCACTATCTTTTTTGTTTGCAGTCAGATTCTTTAGTTCCCGTTACATTTTCAATTCTTAGCAACTTTATTTGTTTTTTAGACATATCACTTTCGCCTTTTATGGAAGGTTTGGTCATTCTAAAGCCGAATCCCGAATATGAAGCAGCTGGTGGCGAGGCTAAAAGAAAGTCATAGTTTTCTCACTCATTTAGTTTCTGTATATTTGTATAAGTCCTTCGCATAGGCTGAAATATGATTTTTCCAAACCTAATTTATTACTTTGCATTCAATGGTTCTGAAGCGATAATGTGTAAAATTCTTGGAGAATTCGAGTTTCTGGCTCTACATGCTTTCAATTTTTCTCTTCAACCAGTTCTCGGGGAGGTTTACTTTTGGAGATTTCAAACCTTCATTTTTAACATTTGGGGGAAAGAAGTTTGATATGCGGAGGTTTATTATTGTTAATATCATTTCAGCTGTTATTGTTATTCGTTAAAATGTTCACTGTCTGAATTTTTGAGCAGTTTGTTTAAGTCATGGGAAGAATTTTATTTTATCAGTACTTCATATCGTTCGAACAATTTCAAAACGAATTGAATTATTTGTCATTCATACAGCTCTTATTAGGCTAGAAGAACATTTCTTTGCTTAGCATTTGTAGGTGTTAGAGATCTCTTTAGTTTAATCACCATTTTATGTACATCTGATGATTGGAATGATCTGATGAGATTTGCAAAAATATGAAAAAACAAGGGACAGTTAACAAAACTGTAGGACCACATCGGACGTTGCTCAGTGAGTTTCTTTTAGAAAACTTGAAATGGTTCTTAGGTTATACTTTGTTTGCTGTGATCTAACAGAAAGTTATTAATATTAAATGAGGCTACCGATAATAGCAAGACGGTTTTCCCTCTAACCCACCTGATTAGGTGGGGGAAAATGACAGTTTGGAGCACACAAGTTTCCCGTGATTCTGCTTTTTTGCTATAGATTTAAAGTGTATTGAGACTGTAAAAGGTTGGTACTCTTGAATTCAGAAGGTTCAATGTCCCAGCCAAACCCGTTATATTCGGAATGAGGTTGCGGTGTTCGTACAGCGTCTATTTGGCGTCAGAGACGTCTCCAGTCCGCACGTAGTACCGCAGTTGGTCTTCTGAGTTGACAACGACTAGACGTTTCTTAACGATATGGTCGCCTCCAAGCGCTATTAGCTGCTGTTGTGTTTCTGTAAAGCGATCCTTTTTTTGTTTGTTGGGGTGTTTTAATTTTCTGGGAGTTAGTTAAGTGATCCGGATTTAAATTTAGAAGGTGTCTCAGACGAGGATCCTATTGCCACTTTAGAATTTACCTGAGCTGGTGCGCCCCTGTGTCCCGATATGGTTGGTCAGCCGAATTTGACGCTGAAGGTCTGGATTGGCAGCTAATGCAGCTCTGATATCTTCAATAGTCAGGTGCCGCTTTTTCCGCAAGAAGCCAAATGCGCGAGTTAAGAGGTCGTTAGTGGAACATCCGTCAACGCTGGGGCAGGTGTTCTAAATGTAAATATACTCTTGAAAAGTAGTGAGATTGGGAAGGATGATGGGAAATCGGATATTGGAAGATTTTATCATTCTTAATTCAAGCTCCTATTCATCTTGCTTCATCTTCTACGATTTGTTGGTGGGGTTTGGTGTGCTCGTGTTTACTGCTAACTTTTCTCGGAAAATGGACTTTAAAATGTATACGAATTTTGAGAGGCCTTACCACAGGACAAGGAGCAAATGGACATATCCGAACTAGGCAGGAATATTGAACTTGTGCTGTTGTCTGATACCGGAACGATTCTACAGTCACGCGAACACCATAATCGGTTCTTTGAGGAGGACACACTAAACCAACATGGTCAGCTTGACACCCGTCTTTTATGATCGCTAATGGTTCACGTTCCCATTCGTACAGTGACCCAATGGGCTCCACTTGGCAACCAGATATTGTCATGTAGGCTGCTGAAAAATTAGTAAATCACTGTCACATATTTTTATTTTGAATATGGATCTCAAATAAAAAATCCAATTCTACTTTCCAATGGCATAAATAAACGGGAAAAAACAAACGTGGTATAGCGTAGAAAGGAGTAAAGCTTAAAGTGATGCGGCTTCCGACGACTACAGCCTCAACTGGTTGCCCGTTGTGAAATATGTCAAAAGTGACTGGTTCTTTAGGTGTTCTCCTGATCGGTTCAACAGGTCTGGAAAATTGACATTAGTGTATCCACTAATAAAGTTTTCTGTTTAACTAATGTGCCCTTCGTTTCGTAGCACATAGTTTTTACTCTCTTATTGGTCTTAATTTTTAAAGAGAGCAGAATTTTTTGGCTTCAAGAAACACTAGCTTCATCAGAATTGTCCAGAATTATCTTTGCATTGCTGGTGCGTAACAACATTCAACAAACCTCTCTGGTGGGGGCAACGATTTTTGCGTCTTGCTGTCTTTTGTCACTACCGGAATTCCTGCAGTTGTTGCTGAAGTGGTTGCTGTTGACTGTTCAATACTTTTTTTAGGTGGTTCATTAGGTCTTTTGGATTGTCCTGTAGTTACTGGTAGTTGTTGAGTGGTCGTTCTTAGTTGTTGTGTTGTTAGTAGTTCAGCAGTTGTCGTTGATGGTTCAAACATTGTTGTTGTCGTTGTTGCTGTCGTTCTTGGCTGGGTTACCACTGTTGATGGCTCAGTTGTTGTTGTTGTTGTTGTAGTTGCAGTGGTTGCGGCAGCTGTAGTCGTTTTCTCAACTGTGGTCGTTGTAAAAACGGCACTTGTAGTATCTTCGACAGTTGCTGCTGTTACGGTTTGCTTGGTACGTGTTATTCCAGGTGTAGATATTGATGCCGCAGTATGTTCTGGGTTGGGAGTGGGTACTGTCGCAGCTGTGGTGACAGTCTGACGATCGGGCGTTGTCGATGTAATTTCTTGTGTGGCGTCGTACTGAGCTTTGCCTACTTCACTAACAGTTGTTAATTGAGCGGTGCCGTTGACGGTGGTCAAGATTGTAGCAAGAGTTGTAGCTAATGTAGTTGTTGTTTTTGGAGTTAGAAAAGCATCGGAAAGTGGAAATGTTTCTTTGGTTGCCTTTGACAATTGTTCGATTAAAGCGTCTTTTGAAGGAGTTTTTGGCGACGTAACATGAATTGAAAACCTCAAAAAATGAGAAAAAGTTAGTTTTAAATGGCGAACATAAAAGAAGACTGTTTTAAAATAATTCTTCATTGTAAACGATAACAGAAAAAAATTAGAGGACCGAGAAAAATAGTTTTGAAAAAAATTTCCAAATTCAAAAAAAAAAATTTTTTTTGTTTTTTGTTGACTGTACCAGCAACAGAAGCTAGCTGTTATACTGTTAAGAGAAAGAAAAAAAAGTATACAGTTAAACTGACATCTGACGGTTGAGTTCGGTTTGAAAAAAATAAATTGAAGTAAGGTCGCATAAAATAAAAGAAAGGAAAAAGGAATTTTTTTGAAAAATGACCAATTATTTTGCTTTATATTCGAACGATTCAAATAGATTTTACCCATTTGTGATGACTTTTTTTGAGAGGGAGAGAGGGGATTGAATGTGAAATTGTGAAGACGAGGGCAAATGGAGTGTAAATGGGCAGTTATCAAGCAACTCGCTTTGAACAACAAAACGATGAGCAGTGTTTTGACCAGATGTATCAGTGATAGATGGATCTTAGGCGTTTTCAAAAAGGAAAAACAGAGTGCAACTAAAAAATTTCATACGTAGTTTCATTGGTGATGACAGTAGTGGTGACTTCCGGTGAATTCTGAGTTGACTGATAAGCAACAGTAGTAGAGGCAACACTGCTGACAGTAGATGACTCACTCGTTTTTTTAACAGAAGACGATGTTGTAATATATTCAGAAGTGTTAACGTCTAGGTGTGTAAATTCGTGATTACTGGTCGAATCTTCTGTCTTGCTAGTCGTCGAACTCGTCTTTGTGGTAGTTTCTGGAATTTCTTGATTTTTCTTGACATTCTTGACATTTGTCTTTGGTTCCTCTTGTTCTGCTTCTGGTATGTTTGGGTAGATAGTCGATTCGTTGTGCAGGTTGAGATCCAGTGAAATGGATGTCGCATTGTGGTCATTGCTTATGACATTTCTGTCCCCGTCGTGAACTTTATAAATTGTTGTTGTACTTGAACTACTATGGAAAGTCGTTGGTAACGATGATGATGGTGGTTTGGCAGTTGATAGAGTAACTCCGGGTTGTATAGTTGTTGATTTAGTGGTTACCGGAATGATAACTTTAGTTGTCCGCGAGTACAGTTTAGATTCTAAGTTTGTCAAAGCAGCATTCATACTATCTGCACCAAGTTTGAAATTGTCATGCTTGCTATCGTTTTCTCTGTCCACCAAACTCGACATATTTGAAAGGATAGAAAATAGTGCTTGTGCTGATTTTGTGAATTGCTGCAGATCAATATGTTTGCTGCAACAATAAAAAGAAAGAATTTAAAGGTTGTTATAGGTGCTAAAAAACAACGAATCATGCTTTAAAATGAGCAAACAAAGAACAAGGATGCAAATACTTGATTGCCTGAATGATATCTCAGTAATATAAATGATACATGAAAGATTTCAGATAGATATTCAGGAACAAGTGTATTAAATTTGGACCGTTTGAATGCAGAACCTTTGTCTCGCTGTATTCGAAAGTCGATAAAACAACTAAGTCACAAATTATCGTGCAGTGAAATGGCAGTGAGCACACGTAGCAACAGGAAATTTCTGCATTAAAGCAAGAAAGATGGTAACATTTGTCTTTTACTCCTTGTTCAGAAAAAGGTATTTTGCTTGGATTTTGTGGCTACGTCGACATTCTTGAAACAAATCTTTTTGAGCAGACAGCATTTTGTTCCTCGTTATAATTTAATCAAACTAATGGATCTTACGCAAATTTAGTGATATTGAATGAGGGACTTGTGATAAAATTTTGTAGGTTTTGTATAAGGTTTAAAAAAACAGTGAATGGTTGTTTATGAAAAAGATATCGAAGTACTTGTGTAAAACTGGTAGAAAGTTGAGGATGAAGAATGTTTGAATGAATTACTTTTTATGGTTGGGGAGTAGATCGATGCTGGTACCAAGCTGTTTTACATCTTGCAGCGGACAACGGGTTTGATAAGTGAGATCATCGGGTGTTATGAAGTACAGCGGTTCAACACCATCCGTTGAAAGCACAATTTCTAGCACCATATCATTACCCTAAAAAAAAAA